AAGTGAATTCTAATATGAGAGTGAAGTTCTCAAGTGTTCAATTATAATCAAGGATTGTAATAGGATTCAAAAATGGTTCAGCACTACTCACATCAGAATTTTGATTAACACAATTGTTTGCACTCAAACTCAGAAATTAAGCAATTGAAAAGTAAAGAAGAACACCAATTTGTTGAGGTAGTTCCCCCGTCGTCCGCGCACGGGGTACGTCTGCCCTTAATTCTAAAAATAGAATTGAGACCTATATATAGATATAACCTGTTGGTAAATGTTTACAAGAGAAGCAAATAGAAATCAAACGATCAAACACAATTTTTGATGCAAAGCCTATTCCTTCTCTTCCCTTGATTCAAGTTGAATCAAGTCCTTCGAATACGGTGAATAAACCTCCGACTATGGCACACCCTTTGAACAACCCCACGGTCTTCAAATCTTACCCGGCTGATTTCAATCACCAACGCTTCGAACCCGAATCCTCCTCTCACAATCCTCCGGTTATCGCTACTAAACCGACAGAACAACCCGTTCTTCAATTACCTTCGCTCGGCTGAATCTGTGATGGATCGATTCGTGCAAAAACCCTAATGGTTTTATTCAAGAAAAACCTACTAATTTCTCAACCCAAATCGATTACACCAATCCTATGTTTTGATGTTATCATCTCTAACAAGCAGAATGCACAACAAAAATAATTATGTGTAGTTTTTGAGAAAAATGCAAGGAAGAGGATGAAGATGATGAGAACAATCAGTATCTATTTTCACTTTTCTTGTCTTTTTGAAGAAAGAGCAAAACTCACTTTATATGCAAGTCAAAAACAATTAACAAACATAACAACCACAAAGACAGTTTCACATAACTGAATTTTAACTGAAAACGCGTGAGCCGTCGACCTATGCAGAAAGGAGGGTCGACCTGAGCTTACCCGAATTTCAGATTGTTCAAAAAGCAGAACTTTGCATAGACGTAAAGCATGCGGAATTAGACAAATAGAAATGGACACAGTATGAGTCGACCGGAGGGTCGACGCGAGCACTTTTGAGAGTAGACCATTCAAAATGCTTTCTGTATAAGTCGATCGAAACTAGGTTTGAGTCGACTCAAAGACCTAAAATATGCACACAAAAAATGCATATTTTCATGTCTCATGCAACTTTTGAGGTACTCTATCACATAGTAAGCTAGACAAGCTTGACCAAACCTATATGAAGCATATATTTAACAATTTCTATATGTATCAACAATGTTTCTGACCGATGTTTGACTCATGAGGGATAAGATATACATACGTGACACAATGATACCGTCCAAATTACATTTTTCTACCAATCTAAGTTTTGACATCATTAAAACAAGTGTAGTTACCTATGAGGATTGCCCTCACAAAACACACTCCAAAGAAAGTACCAATTGGTGTTGATAATGCAGGGTCAGCTAGTGATGAGGTTAATGAGATGGACATCAACTATGCCAGTGATGAACTTGGTAGTAGTGACCCTGATGCTTCTGATGCAGAAAAGGAACCAAAATATCCAAGGTTTAAGATGCAGGAGTTGGACAAGAATTACAAGTTCAAAGTGGGATTAGAGTTTGTATCACATGGAGAATTTAAGGAGGCAATAATTGAATGCCAGTATTGAATGGTAGACTGATAAAGTTTGTGAAAAATGACAAAGTTAGAGTAAGGGTAATTTGCAAGGGCAAATGTGGATTTTTAGCACTTGTAAGTAAAGTTGGGAATAAGCACACGTATAAATGAAGAAATGGATTAGAACACACATGTGTGGTAGGATACTAAATAATAGCTCTGTCACTTCCAAATGGGTTGCTAAACCTGTGGCGGCTAGAATGGCTTTTTCAGATGGTGTTAGAATTTGAGATATTGTGACAGAGAATAGGAGTAACTTTTCAGTTGGTATAACTATGAGCAGAGCATGTAAGGCAAAACAAATTGCAAAAGTTTTGGTAGAAGGTGATGCAATAAAACAATATAACCTTTTATGGAGATATTCTGCAGAGCTAAGGAGAGTAAATGTTGGGAACATTTGCAAAATCAATCTAACAAGGGTTAGGCCAACAATACAACCAAGGTTTGGCAGCTTTTATTTTTGCTTAGATGGGCTTAAAAAGGGATTTACAACCTCTTGTAGGCCATTCATTGGTGTTGATGGATGTCACCTCAAGACAGTATGGAGGGACTCTCCTCATTGCAGTTGGTAGAGATCCAAATGACCAATAATATCCTATTGCCTTTGGTCTGGTGATACATTATGGCGAGTGGAACATACACATACCAGGAATAGTTTCATTATGGATACTTCAAAGAAAACTTGCACATGTAATTTTTGAAAACTTGTGAGAATTCTTTGTAGACATGCAGTAGATTATGTTGATGACTGTTATTGCAAGGAAACCTATGAGAAATGCTATAGTTTTAGTGTAAGTCCTATTAATGGCCAAGACATGTGACCAGAGGTTGACATGAAAGAGATGTTGCCTCCAGCCTATAAAAGAGGACCTGGCGGACCAAAGAAGTTGAGAAGGAGGGAACCTGATGAGGACCCTAATAAAGTAAGAACACAAACCACTCATTGTTGCACTAGATGTGGTGTACATGGTCATAATGCAAGAAGTTGTACTAGTCAAGTGGTTGACCCTGAAGCTCAAAAACACAAGGTATTGAATTTGCTATAAATGAATTATTATTGCACTTATTGTCATTGATAATGTCAATTACTTAACTATGATTTGTTTATTCATAAAAATCCAAAGAAGATTGTACCAGGACAAGGAAAAGGACAAGGACATAGTCAAACTCAAGCTGCATCACTTTAAGGATAAAGTTAGACTTAAACTACTGAGACTCAAGTTGAGACTCAAATTGAAGTTGGCCATGAGTTTGAAATGTTTGTTGCAAATCTTGCAGAGGCATTTGAGGCAACTTAAACACAACATAATCTTTTTGTTACTCAACCTGTTGCATCATCTGCACAAAGTGAACATGTTACATCATCTGAACCTATTGCAACTTCACAAACTGTTACAGCATCTGAATTTGTTGCAACTTCACAAACTGAAGATATACCTGACTATATTTTGAGTGCACATGTTCAATCATCTGACAATGTGTCTGCTACATCTATGCCTACTACTCCAAAAATTCTTAAAACACTTTAGTATATTGTACCACTTCCTAATAATTTGATATTATTCTATTGATTTATAGCAACTCTAATACCCTATATTTTACAGAAGGTGAAGAAGATAAAGAAACCACAAGTTGCAAGAAAATTGGAGTTGAAGAGAAGTGATAGAACAAGGGTCCTTAGGTGCAAAAACCTGAAAGGAGAAGGAAGCAATTCATCACAACCTATGTATGTGGACAAGGATCCATAAGCATGTTGTCATGGTGTATTATGATGTTTTTTGGATATGTTTGTTGTGTCTTTATTGTATTGTTTAGGTGTGAATTTGTTGTATTATGTAACATATCACACCATTATAGTTTATGTTTAGGTGTGAGCTTGTCGCACTATGTGACAAATTTCTATCTTTTTGGCTATATGTAATTGTGAGACATCTTTTGGTTTATGTATGGTGTGCTTTGTCTATATTTTGAGATCACTTTTTTATGCCTTTATGTTATACAATATTAACTAAAAGATTGTAAAACAGGGATGACATACAAACAAATCATTAACCATCAATGATGTAATACAATCATTTCATTAAGGAAGAGGGGTGCAAAATAATAAGTAACAAAGATTTAGGGATGGAAATCAAAAATTACATTACTTCTGATTCATTACATGATGTAGCATTACAAGGACTCATTTCAACAACCAATATTCTAATATGGACTAAAACAAAACAAACAAAAAATAAACAAATTACAAACTCCATGAATCACTACCATTTCAGGTAGGCAACAAAGAGACACCATGAAAGAGTCAACAAAAGCTTCAACATTCTGGCCTTCTTCCTTTCGTTTTCCAACTTCATTTTCATCTTCTCTTTTTTTCCCAGCTTCAAGATCTTTATGCACCCTAATTACTGAACTACCTCTAAGCAATTACATCCAATTGAATTTTTGTGTTCACTTGATGTGTTGTGTTCAAGTTCATCATCCCAAATAAAAAACTTGCAACATAATCCCAAATTTAAACACTTCTAGAATCTTTTAGGATTTTCAGTCGAGTTTGAAATAAACATTCTCATAGCTATATTGCAACCACAAAATGGAATTTCAAACTCAACAAAATTCCCTATAGATGATGTTGTCATTATTGATTCTGAAAGGAAAAGGAGACAAAAAAAGAATGGAAAAATGCAAAATGTGATTTTTTTTAATTACGTTCTCCTTTTCAAGGCCCCTCCACATATATTTTCACATGTGCATCAGATAAAAATGAAAAAGACACATAAGTCAAATCCACACATATATTTTCACATGTGCATCAAATAAAAATGAAAAAGACACATAAGTCAAATCCACATATGCACCATTTACACAGTCAATGTTTTTTTAACAGAAGACTGGCGTCGAGGACTAAATACAACGCAAAATTGAATTATAAGGACTCTGACAAAAAAAAAAACGATACAGGGACAAAATTTAAAAACTCGCTAACTTATCGGGACCAAATAAGCCTTATATTAATGATAGAAATCTATGATCTTATGGAAAAATAGACCTCCTACAACAAGACACTTTAAATTTTATGAAATTCTTATGGAAAAATAGACCTCCTACAACAAGACACTTTAAATTTTATGAAATTCACACTTTTGATGATAAATTTTCCCTTGTTTCCATAATATGGAATTGGTCCTACTGACAAAAACTCATTTGTTCAACTTTCAAAAAATCATTTGTTCAACCGACAAAAATTCATTTGATGGCGGCTAAAGAGCAGAATCATCAGAGTTGAGAAGCATGTGTATGCCAAGACAGGGGTCTAAAATGTTCAAGCACATTAAACACTGCATCAAATGTAATTTTACTGTACACGCCAATTGCTGTCCCTCTCAGAATGTCCGGGTTGGTATAACTTGTTTCGATTTTCTATATAATCAAAGCGGCTATGGTGGGGAGGTTCCGCACTGTAACCATGCAGTTTTTTCCCTTCCTTCACTCTGTCAGGAGAGGTCCTTGCTTTTCTCTTGTTGCTTGACTTGGGTAATTGAACCCCAAGGTTAATGTCATTAAGTGTAAAAAGCTCCCCTTCTTCGGCAGTTCGATCTGTTTCACATGGTGGCATGCCCTTCAGCCCTTGAAGATCATCGTCTGCGTGATCTTGTTGCTTTCCATGCTGCATATTCTCATAATCTGATTTGTTTAAGGGCATAGACAAGCTTTCAAACTTATCCAGTTGATTCTTCTTATTCTGAGAAGCCAATTCAACTCCATCTTCGATTGCTCTCTCAATCAGATCATCTTCATCCATTAACTCGGTTTTTTTAGTTATATGATTAGCTGCTATAGCTGCTTGCTTTCGCTTCTCTAAGGCAGCTTTTACCTTGTATCTATCAATTTTTTTAATGACTTCCTGTGGGGGGCGGGCAAATGCGGCATCTCTGTGATTTAGGTCACTTCTCTGACCATTGGTTTCTAAGTCTTTCTCTGAACCTGATTGTGATCCCCCCGTCTCCTGAGCTTCCGGAAAGTTCTCTTTGTATGGTGCAAGTTTCTGGTCTGGATGTTTATTGCATTTGGCATCAACTTCTGCCATGTCTGTCATTTCTGTGGTCCCATAATCCCCATGTTTACCATGACCTCTTGCAGAAACATGATTAGCAGACGGATCAATAACATTTTTAGATATTGTAGGTTTTGACGTTTCATGTCTGGTACTTGAGGCTCTGGTATGCAAATTACTGTTTGCGGTTGCGGTTTGATCATTGATTGTTGGAGGTTTTGCAGTTCCCTGATTGCCACCTCCTGCAGGTCCTTCAACAGTATTATTGGATGGCGCTGTTCGATTTTGTTCATATAGCTCCAACATTTGATTACTAACTTCTGTAAAAGGTAAAGATACAAATTAAAAGCTAAAAAGAGAAAATAAGAAAACAAAAAAGAAAGACACCAACCCTCCAACTGGCGAGGAGTGACATCAAACTCTTGCCACCAAACTTTATCCCCATCTGATGGGAGCTTCACCTTGAGGAACTTTGCAGCAAGGAATATGGCTCCAGCAGCAATGTGATGGGGATTAAATTGCAGGCAAAGAGATGTCCTTAGTCTGCATACATGCAACATCCAAATTTTAGTAAAGAAAATCAAAGATACCTTCGTCATAAAAAAGAAGTAATCTTTCATACCCATCATTAACAAAATTCCATGCAACTTGAGCAAGGGCATGCTGAGCAACTTTGAATTTCTTTATTGCCTCAACAAGAGGTTTGTAGGGATGTTGCATATTAAAATCAAAACCAAGAGTTGCAAGAACAACCCTCTCTGCAAGTAAAACTAATTCCTTCTGCAGTTCATACACTTCCTGCGCCACAATTGCATGATAAAAAAAATCATCTTTGAGAAGCAAATTAGGAAGGAAAAAAAATGTACAAAAGAAAATTGACTTTTAAATAAACTCCCTATGTTTAAATATACATACAAATATTAAAAGAGAAGTATTCTGAAATCATATATCAATTTGAAAATGCACATCAAGCAACCATAGTTATCGATTCCGGAGAGCAACGCAAGCGGCTAACCCCTAAATTGGATAGCAGGTATATCTTTATGTTGTCAATCCCGAATGGCGGATCAGAGAAGCTGGCCCCAGAAAATGGAAAGGCAGGATTGCCGTTATTTCATATTTTTTGGCACTATTTTACCCCAGAACTAGGGTTTAGGGATGAGCCATTGGTTGATGATGGTTGAAAAGGAGTAGGAGTTGTGATTACTGTTGGAATGTGAAGAGGCTGGGACAGGAGGGGGAGATACGACAGCTGCTGGAAGTTTTAATTCGTAGTTCGAACGCAATAAAGAGATGATTTGCAATATGATAAGAGAGAAAATAAGGATATTTACATTGCAAAAACCCTAAATTGCCACTAATAACTCAACTCTAGGGTTGTCCTGATCCCATCCCTAAAGTGTACCTATCTCTACACCCCAAAGGCAATGTGAAACCGAGACGCAATGGTGGCTGCAATGGTTTTGGTCCACTCTGATGTCATTGGTGGGTGGGGCTACACGCTTTATTCGCTTAAGATTTTAGTTCTATTTTTGTCTGTTAAGTCACAAATGTTACACACTCTGGTCCTTTCTATTAGAAATTGGGCCTTTGACCCTTGGTCTTTTAAAATTAAAAAAAAAAAACTCAAGGGAATAACTTAAGAGAGTAATATGAAACGAATAAAATTTAAGGGACCAAAGTGAAACATATAAACAACTTACGGGATTAAAAGGGTAAGTTACTAAACGATAATTTTTATGAGAATTGATTTGTTACTTTTTCATTTGATTATTGATTGATTTTTACTATTATTGTTTTGCAAAGAAATATGAGAATTATATTACTAGTTTATTACTACTACTATTCTACTCTAAAAGATGCCCAAGGGGTCAAAGGCCCAATTTGTTTGATTGTACCTTTTAAAGTTGTTTTCTCCCAAAACCTAGGATGAAAATGTTAGAGGCCTGGTAGTCCGACACAACCAGCAGCCACAACAGCTGCGGCAAGCAGAAAAACGTGAGAGGCAGTAAGGGTATTAAGATAAAAGCTTCAGGCTGGACAACTCAGATATCGCCGGGAAATGCAGGTCATCTCTATGACATAATTACAGATCTGGCTAGAAAACACAAATCTTTGTTGCCGAAAAATGCAGGTTTGGCCATTAACAGAAGACTATTTTTTTCTTTCTTTGATATTCCATCCCCTGCAGGCCAAGAAGCCCAATGCATCGACATTAATGTTGTACACAACTTACCTCACTAGTAAGTACTTGTGCTAAACATACAGTATGTTTTCTATATTTATGGCACTAATTGATGATTAAGCATAATTTAAAAAGTAGAATACAGTGGGAACTAACTTGAACCTTTATTCTAAGAGTGTGTAACTCCTATCCTATTTGACCAGATTATCTCCTCATACAACACCACCTTTGGTATTTTTAGTTGTTAATATTTTATGTTATTTTCTAGACAAGTAACATAAGGTGTTACACAGCCACTATTCAGCACCGCACTGGTGCGATTGCAGCACTATTGACAACTTAGCTTGGCCAACTAACATGTTCCGTGATGAAATGAAATATATAAATTAGAATGCGAGTTAGGTGAAACATAAGAATACTGAAGTCGGTACACTAAAATAAATGCAACAGAAAAGATGCAACTGGGTAGTACAATGGTGGAGCAGAAATTGCCTGTTAGCGGAAAGAAAAAGAAAAAAAAAACCTACAAGGTAGTGCGGAATATACTATACCTTTTGTTTGATCCTCTGAACAGCTGCAGGATCCTTCTTGTGTATAATTTCATATGAAACAATAATAACATCTTTTAGAGGGCGGGGAGTTTCTTCAACCTTCCCAGCAAGAAACATGCAAACTGTAGCAATGATCTGCAAAACAGGTTAAGTTATTTTTGTCAACTACATGCCAAATTTTTTATACACCATCCAATAAACACATTAAACAATAAACAATAAATACAACAAACAACTGGAAAGCATTCTGAAAATTAGGAATTAGCCACAGGATTTCTTATTCAAAACTCACAGAGGTAACAGCTATAGCATAACATTATTTTATATGGTAGCTCAAATAATTAACAAAATAATCAGAACATTAATGAACCACATCTGACAATCTTATACAATTTGACAATCTAATCATATGGCAGCCTCAGCTTCAAAATAGAAGCCCCAATCTCTGTTTTAGAGTTTCACATTTCTACACCCTTTGTTTCCTAAGTCTTACATACTTAATCACATATATGTTTTGTTATGTTATAGTAATGGATCCCAATGTTTCAATACAACCTCCTATCAACATTGTGGCAGCCCTTCAATGCCCAATATAACATATTTGGGAGTGGCAGCTCCATTCCATAATCCGGGATTTATAATTAAGATTTGTATTAATATATGCTATTATTTTTTCCATAAATTAGTATAAGACTAAAGATCAAAAGGTAGTGCTTGCCACTTACAAATATTATGAATGTATGATAAATTTCTCCTCAAAATTATTATGCAAAACTCACAGAAGTGACAACTGAAGCGTGAATGCATGATACAAAAGATTAAATCAGAAATATGGATTAGCTACCACTTAGCGAAATTTGTAAGAAAAAAGACAGATATATGCATAGTTCAAACAGAAGGGAATTATTATCTCTGAAAGATAATGTGCAATGCAAGTTACAATAATAAAACTGCCCAGCATTATCATCCCTCTAGGTGAGTGAGTGTGATCAATTTGTCCCAATGGGAATGATAAGTAATTGCAAGAATAATACAATACCAACTCACCTTTCGGTCATTCTTTGCATGGGACTGCCGAAGAAAGAATCGATGGCAAAAAATTATGGCAGACGCAATAGTTACCTGAGGTCTGCATCACAATTAAATCAGTATCAACATTATTATAGCTTACGCTATGTGCCTGTATTTGTAATTCCAATAAGATGTGATCATTTGATATAGCTATATATATAAACATGATAAGAATAAGCTATTCATAATGTTCTCTCAGCTTCTACAGAAGCACAACTCACTGAATTTAAACACAGTTTTTCACCAGACACATTCATATAAACAAGAGAACTCACAACAAATCTGGTTTCACAATGACGAAGTAAAAAAAACAAAAAAAACAGACCCAACAGCATAGATAGTGAACCAATGACGACTACCAAAAACAGATAGTACTATTAAAGGACATAAAAACTCACACTTTAAGTCTCATTCCTAAATCCTGTAGAAACGAACAATATGATTTTCGTAGGTATGCTTCTTTCTTCAAATCGACGCCATCTAGTTTCGACGGTGAGTTTTCTTCAATCTCCTTTCTAGAAAAGTACCATCGAAAACCATCCTTGGGACCCTCGGGAGAATATCTTTGAGAATCACCAGCCATGAGGACAGGGCAGATTAAATTCTGTTCAGGTTGATGTATATTTAACCGTTCCCTGTTCCATCAATTCAATTATGATAAACAAAGAAGCAATGTGCTAATAAACAAAATCAATAAACCAACAAAAACTACTGAAACCCTAATTCTATCATGCTTTATACAAATTCAACCATCGTGTGAAACAAGAAATAAACCATAATATAAGTTAGAATCAGAAACCCTTACCTCGAAGTAAATGATGAGAACGTACAATTTTGAATTTTGAAGCTGAAAGCAAAGTTAAACGGCGGCGTTAGGATTCATCAACGAGCAGGAGCAACTCACTCAGTAATGCTGATATTTTGTTCAAGAATTCAGGGTTCCCAACCAAATCTCTGACTAAATAAATAGTACTCCCTCACTCGTTAGTTTGTTTTTTTTTTTCTTTCTTACAATTCTCACTATTAGCTAATTTATTTAAAAAGAATCAAGAGGCTAGTTTTTTTTTCCCTTAATTACCACACGTTTTTAATAAATAAAAAATTCACACTATAAATTTAATTGTTTTTATGTAACACTAGCGTCTAAACGGGCACGTCTGTGCCCGTTTGTCCGTTTTTTTTATTGCGCTAACGCGCAAAATTATTCACAGCGTATTTTTTTATAAATTTAAGTTTACCATAAACTATTTATATTGATTTTAATGGTCTTTTCACATTCTCTTTACTTCTTATTATGCATCTCGATTATGTTGCACACGTTAGGTCTCCTATAGATTTGTCCTAACGATCTGTTATGTTGTCCTAACGATTAGTTTAAGATAATAATGCATCTTACTATAGATTAGTCAAAAGACCATTAAACATTAGTTTGTATTTATATATTACTATAGATTAGTCAAAAGCATATGAAGATTTAGATAGAAGAAGAACAAAAATCTTTCTCACAATTTATTAAGCAACTAAACATAAACATTAACACATATATTAAGTTACATTATTGCTTAATAGAAAGGTCAACCATGAAATCAAAATCAGAAATATCTCTCGTTTCACTGCAAAACAAATGAAGTAAATTTTAGTAGTCAATGGTATAGTGTAATTAGTAAGTACACGCCTAATGTGAGATTGCAAAAGTATAGTTGAATGATTAAACATAATAGATAAATACCTGAGTTTGTGACAACAAAATTTCTTTAATAACTATATTTTTTGTAAACTCCCCTTCTTCCCCACTTACTCTTCCGTCTTTAATTAGCACTCTTGTTGCAGCCCGCGAAACACCTTTTGATAAAACAACATACAATTGTCCGTTACTGAAAACATGTCATGGAAGATAAATTCCGACATTTGGAATTGTTTGTCCTTGTGATTTATTTATAGTGAGTGCAAAGCTTAGTTTGACAGGAAACTGTTTTCTAATAAGCACAAAAGGAAGTCCCGCACCTTCAGTGGTTTTGAGCTTAATTCTTGGCAAGAAAGCTTTTTTTCCAGCATTGTGGCCTGTAAGTATTTCAACATCAAGCAAATTCATAAAAAAAACCACGACATAACAACCTTGTCCCATTACACAACCCAAATTTAGGGTCTATGTTTCGCAACAACATCAGTGGAGCCCCTTTTTTATCTTTAAAATATGTGGCGGTAAAACACCAGGAGCAATCGTGTGCAAGTATTCCTGTTGATATAGATTATGTGTATCACCCTCAACCTCATCAAAAGATAACAAAATATGTTCATCTCCAGGGAATTTATCAATAATCATGTCATTCAACATATGCACGTCACAATTTTTTGGAGTAAGTATCGCTCTCTCCACCATATATGAAACATCCCATCCATGGTTTTCTAATTGGGGGAATATATGTTGTATAAGCTTTTGTATGGAGCTTTCTCCTTCCCAAGGTATTAAAATTTCAGCAGGCATTCTGACCATGTCATCCTCTTTAGTAGGTTCATTACCATTTCCAATCCTCATTAGAAACTGCGCAAAGTCCTGGTCATGAATTGATCGCATGTTTTGGCGCAAATGTAGGACCTTTGTGGTGGCCCATAATCGAGACCTAACAATACATGCTGAAATCATTTGTCCTCTATTTTCCTTTTTAATAACTGGTAGCACCTGACGAAAATCTCCGCCCATGATCATTATTTTTCCACCAAATGGAGCATTGTTATTTATGATGTCTTGAAGTGATCGATCTAATGCTTCTACACAATATTTATTTATCATGGGTGCTTCATCCCAGATGATTGCATTGGTTATTCTAATGAGTTTTGCAAGGTTATAATTCTTTGCTATTTTGCAAATAGAATGGGGCTCTATATCAATGGGGATCCCAAATCGAGAGTGTGCAGTTCTACCACCAGGTAATAATGTAGCAGTTATACCAGAGGAACATGTTGCTAAGACAGTTTCATTATTACGCCTCAAATTTGCCATTATAGTTCGATAAAGGAAAGTTTTACCTGTCCCTCCAGGACCATCAACAAAAAAAATTTGACATTGTTTTTGGTGGATGGCGTTCATAATTATATTGTAAGTACTCATCTGGTCAGTATTTAACTTCATAGCAGATTGAACGTCTTCGTTTGGAATTTGGACCGATAACTCTTCTTGAATAATTGTTGGCACTCCCCCGACTTCATTTGTTTCCGTTGTCAACATTGGAAGATCGTAGTTTTTTATTAGTTTTCCATGCAGTAGCAAAAGATCCCTCAATTCCTGCAATAACATATTTTCAAAGTTATCCCCTACAACAACATTTGTCATTTGATAATCCTCCACCATGTAGGGATAAAACTCATTAAATAGGCCTCTAACATCAGTTGGTTCACAAAAAATTAATATAGTCACAAACAACCTTCGTAAAGCATATGGCATACGCATATTTGATGCTTCAAGCAAACATTCACGAATACTATTATCACTCTCTAATAACCCCCAATCCTCAACTGATTTTTTAAATGTGAAAAAAGATGAACCATTATGTGTAAGAAGGTATTCTCAGCTTGCTGAACCTCTTAAATGAGACAACAAAACACGTAAGTAAAATTTCTCACCTTCTGAAGGGGATACTGTATAGATTCGACCAATAACTTTTCGTTTTCTCTGTCTTCACTGCCATTTTTTGACCCTTTTTAGCCAACAATAATGCTCTGGAATCTCTCTGTACAAATAATTCCTAGCATGTGGATCCATTTGGTTTAGTTCAAAGAATTCAGTGAGCATGGTTACTGCATTTTGGTTATCATTTAGCACATTTGTGATTCTTTGATGCTTATAAAACCGCACTTGATGATGATTCGGCAAGTGGATTTGTAGTCTTTCAACAGAGGGATATAACTTGTAAAGTGTGAATTTGAATATTTTCCACAATGCCTCTGGAGCACAAATCCATCTTGCATCAACATATTGTTGAATCTCATCCAAACCTGTACCTCTGTGAACTTCCATTGCAACTCGATCAGGACCTTTGTAAACATATTTATACAAATATTTAATGCTTTTGATACTGCTGCAAATCTCGACATTGATGTGACAATCATACTTCAACAACAACCATGGGTTATAAGGAACCACCCATCTATTATCAATAGACTTATTTCTATTTAGGAAAATGGGATCACTAAACCTTTTTCTGTATTCCGGGTATGAGTCATTTCCCTGACGCGTTTCTTATAAAATTCTTTTGGGTATCTTTTTTTACAATGACCATTCTTCATACATGGAGATTTTTGATTCAATACTCCACATGGACCATGGATCATGTGTTTTAACACCGCTTCATACAATTCTGGCTCAGACTCATGTTGTGGTATTTCTGCTTTCACCACACTATCATACTCTTCAGGTTCCCGTAACTTGTCATCAGTATCCAAGATGAGTAGCATATGCACATGTGGTAGTCCACGTTTCTGAAATTTCGTTACATACATATAACTTCTAACTCTCCCTAAGACTCCTTTATTAATGACATCATCCTTCAACTGCTCAAATTTTGATCGAAAAATTCTTGTTAGCAAATCAGGTCGATCTTGTGGAGTTTAATGGATTCCTAATTCGGAATTTATCTCAATCCAGGAAGGATTGCATGTCATTGTAAGGAATATATCTGGTTTACCATCATTAAGAACAATAGCCATACTATCTTGATATCTTTGTGTCATGTCTCGCTTACTTCCAATAAATGATGATGGTAATATTGTCCTTTGTCCAACATTATCTATAGAAATATATGAAAATTATAAAACAATGATAGTGGTAAACATAAAGTGGATGCTCTTCATGTATAAATCTAACATGTTATATTAAATATCTGTGTTATTCTCCCCATCGTGCAATGCATCTTGTAACCCCTGATATACCTCAGACCGAATATTATTTTGATTTCTTCGAATCCATCTCAACCTTCCTGTTTCAATCTTTACATAATTGTCTACAACATACTGTTGTAAAAGTCGACCCGATTTTAACAGTACAAATTGATCATTATGTCGAATCTACATTGAAAAAAATAATCAATCATGACCTATTTTTTTACACTTTTAGAAGTAAATTTCTTTAAAAAAAATGTTTAGCATGTACATGAAGCACATAACTGTAGTACTCTCGGCATGTAACATTTTTTCCAACATTATTTTTTGTTTCTATGTTCCAACCGTATGTTCCGAACGGAAACAATATAGGATATTGTAAAGGATCATAATACCCAATTGTTTCTTGAACCTTTGTTAGATTTCCATCACAACTGATGACATTTATATCTCTTCCATGTTCTATTGTATCTTCATCACCACCACCAATAACAATTGCTGCAACTTGAGAAGCTGAAGGGAGACTATATTGTGGCTGATTTGACGGACGTTCTTTAATGAGTAACCTACATTCTTCAACATTTGGCTCTAGTGCAAGCTGCCTAAACATGATGACAAACAGGTTACATTGATGGAGTATTTTTTCCAATTTATACACTATGGCTTGGTTAAGTATTGGGTTTTCCCTCATCCTATTTTGAAGCTCAT